TTACGCAGATATACATGCACAAAAATAGATAGATAGATAGATAGATAGATAGATATGAAAGGGGTGAGGTAAATTGATCGATAACAAGAGTGAAATAGGAAAGAAAACTAAGGTTTGCGGGTAGATAATGAAAAGACTGACAGAGATAGATAGATAGATAGATAGATAGATAGATAGATAGATAGATAGACAAAAGCGCTGAAGATAGATAGATAGATAGATAGATAGATAGACAAAAGCGCTGTAGATAGATAGATAGATAGATAGATAAAGGGGTTGAAAATAGATAGAGATAGATAAAAGAGATGAAAATAGATAGATAGATAGATAGATAGATAGATAGATAGATAGATAGATAAACAAGAAAAGATTGAAATACGTGAGATAACTAATATGTCCAGGGAGATATTGAAAACTGAGATAGAAAACTGAGATAGATAGATAGATAGATAGATAGATAGATAGATAGATAGATAGATAGATAGATAGATAGATAAAAAATAATAAGATAGTGGGCTTGATAGATAGACAGGCAGACAGGCAGTATGAAACCATTAGACTATGGTAATGCTTAAAGGTTAGTTTGGTTGGCCATTACTATTGATCAGTGAGTCTGTTCCTTACTGGGTGACCCATAATAAATTCGACATTAAATAACCCAAAAGGGCTGACATGTCATAAAATAAACCCACCTATTTTTTCTATGAAGGCACCTCAGGCTAGCATATTATGGCTTATCTGGTTAGTCATTTATACGGAACAGTGAGTTCGATTCTCACTGTGGGCCCTATAAGAAATTCAATATTAAATAGCCCACAGATGGTTGACTTTTCGTAACTTAAACACATGTAATCCATCTATTTAGACGCCTCTTTTAAGGGACTAGTCTTGTTGGCCATTAATAATGAGCATTGAGTTCGATCCTCACTGGGTGCTATTTCCTAAAATAATAACAAACCAAAATTTAATTTTGCATGTTTGAATGTCTGTTGACGATCGATTGGTAGCAAGATAATCTTGCTTAATCATCATTAAATATGATAACTTTCTATCGAAAAGATTCGTGGTAGATAGAACAGTGTGTGCATAAATTAATGTAGCATCACTTTTTATCTCTATCCTTTGTGAGCAGTAGTCTTTGTGAGCTAGAGTTCAAACAAGAAGGCTCTTTTATAATCAAGACTTTGAAAATCAATTTTAAAATAAATTTATTTTTAATTATCGAATGTCGCAAAATTCTGAATAACGAAACTTTGAATAAGTATTTACGATGATTATAGCCTAGTATGGCAGTGACCCAAAACTGGGGCTCAACTCTGACAATTAAAATAATCTACAAATCTGTTTCCAAAGCTAAACGTTTCTACTTCACTAGATAGAAGATAATTGCTGAACGAAAACAACTTTGGCAGTAACCCGGCATCTCAAACCGCTGATCACGGATAGTACTATTTAAAAATAGCGTTACCGCACGGTAGGCATTCATTAAATGGGTAGTTGTAGAAGTAGTCGACCGAAAACCAGGTCATAATCATGTTTCTAGCCCATAGACGTCTTATAATTGAACTTAGGTTGATTGGTCCCGCTGGGATGCTTTGCTGAACTTTTGTCGTTAATGATTACCTCAGAGGGCAAAGCGAATGGTGTAGCATTGCCCATTTCATAGGAGTAGGCTATATAATACTAACAGCCAATATTAATCTTCGATCTGACTGAACTTGCTTCGTTGTTATACTAGGGCCGAGGCCTTCCGCAAGGTACCAAACGCTGGAGCTGGGATCTAGCGGAAGGTTTATGCATGTCTATTCATGCATTACGACGAAATGAACCTCGGAACTCGAAACCGGTTTGCCAATTCGGGCACATAATAATCTTTACATCGCCTCGTTGACGGTAGCTGTAAAAAATGATCTTAATTGAGTTGAATATCATAAAGTAAGTATTATAAACATTTATCGAACCTTATCAAATTTTGAGTAATTTAAATTCATCGTCAATTTGCTGCTTTCTTTCTTTTTCTTTTTTCAATCACAACTTTCAGATCATGTTTACATTCTACGGAAGTCAAGCAAACTAATTTGAACAGAAAAATAAAAGTAATTGTTCGATTGTAAGAATGAGTACTATTGAATAATTTATATATATATATATATATATATATATATATATATATATATATATATATATATATTTATCTGATATTGAGCGCTTTCTAATAAGTACTGCGTATATAATATAAATAATTATACATATATATATTTATTTATATTTATATACACTTTTCACACACACACACACACACACACACACACACACACACACACACACACACACACATATATATATATATATATATATATATATATATATATATATATTCTTCAGAAATACAATTTGAATTAAACATGTTGTCTCTGGAACCCGCCAGAAATTTGTGAGACAGTCGCATAACAAACTAGGAGTTGACATGAAAGCCATGAAAAGGCAATATTTGTCTATATTTTTATATTTCTTATACATGCACACACACAATGTGTGTGTGTGTAAATTTATGTCTATCTATCTATCTATCTATCTATCTATATATATATATATATATATATATATATATATATATATACAGGGTGCGTTGGGTAAACGGTCGTCATTTTTGTTTTTAATTTCGGACATGTGCGTTGTTTGTTTTTGGTTTTGTCGGCTGCACGGTTAAGTAGGTTTAGTTGGTCACCGTCTGTGAGAAAAAATGTCGCAATTCACTCCGTCAGAAATTTTGAAACGCCATGTTGTACTGCTTGGCACTCGCACCGGAAGCTCCAATACCAACATTTTAGCGTGTTTTTGTATCAATCTGTGGACAGTACTGAAGGTTCGGAAAGAGTTGGAGGAGTGTAATGGTGATTACGAAGGTGTTTGGAGTGATCACTAGTGATGGTGAAGTTAGGGCTCCTTTCATCTTCCCACGGAGATTCAGTCTCAACACGGAGGCATACCTCAAGGCTTTGAGGAGGATCTGCTGCTGTGGGTCATGAAGGTGGCTACTGGAAGACCCTATGTCTGGCAACAAGATTCTACACACGAGCAATCTGTCATGGCTGTCAGATAATTTCTGCGACCACATCACCCCTTACATCTGACCACCGAACTCTCCAAACTGCAACCCCCTTGATTATTATATATAGGTTGCAGTTGATTGAGTGGCCAACAAAACTCCTTTTGATACCAAAGAGAAACTGAAGTCAAGGATTATGGCAGCAGTCACTAACTGGTTATTTTATTGAATAAATTTACTCTTTAGTATTTAAAAATATTTCTGTGTAATTTTGGTAAAAATATCTGTTGAAATGAAATCTCAGTGTTATTTCCATTTTTACGTAAATTAGACCACAATTTATCCATCGCATCCTGTATACATATAGAAAAAATCCTACACACTTTCGCATATTAGTTATTGTACTGAATCACCTCACACCCATGAACTTGTCTGACTTTCTCCGCTAATTTGATGAAAATTAATGAGCACTCCGATACCAAAAATTTTGAAAAACCAATAACATTATTGTTCTTGTATATAAATATCTCTCATAAAATAAAACTTTATATTTGCCTTGATAATGTCCCTCACAGGACGAAACACGGCTAAAAATAAGTTTTCATTTTGTCTTTTTTTATATATATATATATATATATATATATATATATATATATATATATATATATATATATATATATATACCCCTGGAAATGCCAAAATAATAGACTGTGGCATAAATAATCTTGCTTTGGCTTATAAACTTTATTCTTCAAAAACTGAAGTACAATTACATTTTATTAGATGATATATTCACCGTTTTTTTTAAAATGATTGTCGCCATTCATCAGTTAGCACCTCAATACATTTTAATTAAATCGCTGTAGTATTTGATGTGAACAAGTTTTTGATAAAGGTTTGAATCTGGCTTTCATTAGTGGAACATTTCTTCTTGAAAAGCATTTTGCAACGAACGAAAAAGGTAATGCTTTAAGTGAATATAGTTGGTTTATTAGAACTGTCTAAGCGGCTCCCAAAATTGTTGCTTCAATCATTCTTGCAGTATGCGGCCTGTCATTCACTTATGCGCAAATACTCTTGGGAAAAATACAAATCTACCATTCCCACTCCCCCGCAGCCCTGGTTTAATTAGTAAGACTTATATCAATAAATCATTGGGTGAAAATATACATTTCAATCTGTCCGTGACTAACTAGTGTTTGTTTTTTTGGACATGATTCCAAGGAATATACTGCAGCATGTTCCGATTTCCATTCATTTCGAACTGAACATTCTTTAATTTAAGAGACACTGTTTAATCTAAGGGACACTGTTTAATCTAAATGGCACTCTTTAATCTGCGGGACACTGTTTAATCTAAAGGACACTGTTTAATCTAAAGGGCACTGTTTAATCTAAAGGACGCTGTTTAATCTAAGGGACACTGTCTGTTTAATCCAAGGGACACTGTTTAATCCAAGGGACGTAACTGAGGATTAAAGCGGTGTTTTGTGACCGTGATTCAGCAGAAAAACAAGACTAGCATTCACCATCTTAACTGAAAAAAAAAAAGAGTTCAATGCCTAACATATACTTGAAGACGACCGGAGAGCCCAAACGTTGTGGCTATAACGACAAAGATAAGGACATTAGTCCGACTCTAAATAAAGTAAACCGATGATAAATCCACACATACACGAAATATTTTCGCTTCTTTTGTCACAGAAAAAATTGACATTCAGGTGACATACTGTCTTATATTTTTAAACCCAAGAATTATTTTGCGCTTAGACACCGTTGTATATTGGTCGCGCCCCATGTTTGCTAGAGCTACGCTACCTTTTTACCTTTGACGTCACTGACACGTGATTCACTTGTGTTCATTTCTAGGTGGTGGATGAAACCATGCAGTATACTGCCGTTCGTAATTTTTTGCTACTTCAGTTTATATTCATATATCTATCTATCTATCTATCTATCTATCTATCTATCTATAAATATATATACATACATACATATATATATATATATATATATATATATATATATATATATATGTATGTATGTATGTATGTATGTGTGTGGGGGGTGTACTAATTTTTGATAATTCACGAAAGTTGGACACGTAAATAAATGTACAACGTCTTTTCATATTGGAATCTTTTATGAAATAATACCTCCGGCTGTAAGACTGCAAAGATTCGCAATTGAATACAAACAAGTAGGCTGATGATGACAGAAGCAGACCTGGACGCATATCTTTCTGAAGTTGATGCAATTATTCTCGCTTTCAAAGATATTGTATGATCTTTGTCAATGGGAGGTGTCTCTAGCCCGTTCTGGTACGCAAAAACATAGAGCAAAGAGAGACTTGCCCAAGGTTTTAATATTGTGAAACAGTATGTTCTCTAATCAAAAGGACTTCCTGTTATGTATTTGAGACGGCTTTAACTGCAGTGAATATTATTTTCTTAGGAATTGCTCGTTATTTATTACTTATATATCAAGCAAGTATATTTACCAGACA